GTTTGTTTTAGTCCTTCGTTTCCAACAGTGACGGATCGTTGTGGGCGGGGCCACCCAGGACCGTATTATCTACTTCCTTGTTCTTTCAAAATAATGGTAGAAACAGACGCGTGGATTGTTTAATTAAAAAGAGGGACGATGATTTAACCGGGCAAACGTCACATCAGCATAATTACTAAACAGAAGGCTGGATTGATAAAACTACAGTCTTTGAATGTGAAACTACATAATCTTCGATATTCTGTTCATATTTTTTGAGGGGAATTAGGTGTTCTGTCAAAAAAATCACCACATCTGGAAGATAATCTGTCGGCGTGTCGCTCCTGATGTGACGTTAATTCTTCAGCTTTTCTCTTTTCACTGAACTTTTGCCTTTACGTCGCCATCAGCTTCAGATTGCACGCTTAATCCAGCAGATGTTGAGTTTCCTCACAGGGATTAGAGCCATTTGAAGTGCTTCACTTCATATTAGCTGGTAGGTTGTTGGTCTGGTCAGAATTAATCTGTTTGAACAAACCGAGCTCCATCAGAGATTGAACAACATTTGAGATATTAAAGCTTCACTGAACCCCACTTCAAACGAGCTGAACTATCCCTTTAAGTTTTATTTATACAGGATTATTAGGTCAGTTTATTTCTGTTTGGGTCGATAAATCAAGAAAACCAAATGATTTTTATTCATCTGGACTTCAGCGTTTTCGTTTTAGCGTTCAAAAGTCTTCATCCAGACCCCGTTTCTTTTAATCCCCGTCCAAGGAGCCAGATTATCTGTAATCTGACCTGAAACAGGGTGAAAATAAAAACCAGAACACGTTAAAGTCTAAAAACGGCTGAATAAACTTTTTATTTACAAATCTGCATCGAGATCGTACTGATAACTCCCGAGTTAAAAGCTGTCATGAAACGGCCACAGCAGCCGATAATCTGACGGCGCCAGAGACAGATTATTTCTACAGAAAAGGGAAAACTGTGGTTGGTATTCTTGAACATTTACAGACTTGTCATCGCCTTTTTTTCTGTTTGGGAACAAACAGGTTGGATGATTTATGCGTCGATCCTTTAGAGCGACTCACCGACATGAACGAGGTCAGGGCTGTTCAAGCGGCGGCCCGGGGGCCAGATCAGGCCCGCAGGGGAGCTCAGTTGGGCCCAACGGTGTCATTTGAAGTAAAACCAGACTTTAATCCATAAACTAAATGACCGTAACTGCTGGATGTGTGGCCCCTGAGCAGTTTGGTTGAAGAGCTGCAGATGATTCACCTGCTCAGCGAGAAGTTTAGGAGCTGGTCCTGAGGACATACTCAGCAGCTCAGTCACGTGCATGTGACTGGGCTTACGTGCACGTCGTGTTGAAGTCGTTTAAAGGAGAGTTTGAACGGCGAGCCTCCTCCAGATTACAGATTATTTCTGTTCAGGGAATCGTTTTGTGACTTCAGGAGACCCCCCGAGGCTCCGCTCGTATTGACAACGGATCGTTCACTCCCCTCGTGCACTCGTGCACGCTCTTTTCTCCGTTCTGTTACTGGATGTGACGTTCTACTGGCTTCTTGGTTTTGTTTGCACAGACGTTAAACTTTAGGTCGGCGCCGCAGCTTCCTGAGGGATTTGTAAGAGAATCGATCTTTTCTACACAAACGTTTCTTCAGATTTCCGCAGTTTATTCTGAATAAATAATTTGTCAGGATTTAACGAACCTGCCGTCTGTTTTCATTCAGCTCAAATCTGAAACTGGAATTAAATGTCCTGCGAGAATGCCTATCACCCGCCACCTTTCAGTCCAGAGCTTTAAACTCCAGTCATCTTCCTGACTCGTCATCAGTTCCTTGTTGGGGATGACTCTCAGCTACTACCACACTGAGCTTCGTAGTGGAGAGGAGTGTCTGAATGGATCATAAAACTTTGCAGTCTAAATGTTGTGACAACCGTTTCTCTGGACTGGAGTAGGAAACCTAAATGTTTTATTCTTCCTGTAGTTTTATTTATATATATATATATACATATATATATAAAAATGTCGTCAGAAGTTGCAGTGCATTCTGGGAAATGATGTAAACCGGTTTCTTCAGTACGAACTCCATTCAGCTTGAATGTTAAATTTAGAAATGATCTGATATTCAGCCTTTCAGTTTGAACCAATGACAGAGAGGAGAACGCAGAAATGTCCCAAAGCCTTTAAATAAATGTCTTCAGAGTGTTGAGCTCCCAGCTTGGACCCTCCTGGACCCTCCTGGACCCGGTCCACCCCCCGTCTGCCTTCAGTCTGAGATCGTGAAGCGTCCCGTGAAGTTCCAGTCGTTTGCTACAACGTTTGATGAAGTCCTGCCAGGAAGTCCTGATAAAACGGCTCTGAAACAAACAAACAAACATCAGCCGAAACCTTTTCGACTTGAGCAGCTGAAACGCGCTCCTAGCCACAAACCTGCGTCGGGCTCGATGAACGAGTGTCTGATGAGGAAGTCTAAGACCACCAAGGCCGAGTTGGGTTTAAAGTCGTCTGTGGCCAGAAGTTCCTTCACCTGAAACGGATCGAAGACAGTCTCAAAGAGAATGCCAAGAGCCGAATGACAGCTAAATGTAAAGGCTAGCAAGAAGCTAAAAGCATCAAAAGTGTAGCTAAAAACAACAGAAGTGTAGCTTGAAGCTAAGATTGTCACAAGCCTGAATTCTAAAACAACAAAAGGCTAACTAAAAGCTAAAAGCAGCAAAAGACTTGTTGGGAGCTAAAGATGAGCTGAAGAGATTAAATTAAATCTTTGTAAATGTTTTTAAATTCACAGCGCCTCCTGCAGAGCAAAAAGGAACAGCTAGAACGACACAAAGTCTGGTAAAAATAAAAACCAGCTGAGAGGAGCTGAAGAAACCGACCTCCTGGACCGGCAGCAGGCTGAACTCCTGGACCTCCCCGTCCCCGACCCTGGGTTCGAACCCGACAGGAAGTTCCAGATCAAAGACGAACTGGCTCTCCGGGAACACGCCCTCCTCGTCCTCGTAGGTGTAGCTGCGGCGCAGGAGCCGATTAAAAGAGACGACGGACTTCAACAGATCTGGTGTTGTTCAGGCTCACCTGACGGTCGATGCGGGCCGGGCCTTCGCAGCGAG